TAACACACACACACACACACACACACACACACACACACACACACACACACACACAATAATATAATAGAATCGTTACATCTTATTATTTTTCTTTCTCGTAATAGAAAAACACTTATTATTACAGATATTTGAAATGGCCAATTGAAATTAAAATTAAAATTGCTTTTAAATATTAGTCTAATATTCATTGTACATGCTATTACGGATAGTAATTCAAAAAATAATTTGTGTGCAAATATGCATAGTTTTTTAAATAAACAATTAATAGAACCAATTGATAATGATATACATATCTCTCTATTTTTTGAAAAAAACAATACAGTTTATGATAAATTTAAATCATACATCGATGAACAACAAGCAAAAAATTTTGTTTTTTATGGTACATTTACGTCATATTTTAAAGTTTCTGAAAAAATCAACACAATACGTTTGAACGTATTAAATCTGAAAATAAATGAAATAGAAATGATAGTTCTTATTTCTAAAGATTTTAAGGTGATAAGATCGATAATGCATCTATGACAATAAAACGCAAACAGTTGTCATTAACATTGACTATGAGTTTTTACTATTTAATAATTACAGTCTGATAATACACTTTCGGAATTATGATTAACACAAATGGATATTGGACACGCAATTCAAATAATACAGTGTAAGTAGAATACAAATATAATTTATAAATGTAATAAATTTAATTTATGTTAAAGACTTAAATATTATTATAAAATATTAATTATTTTATTTCCTTTTCATTTGACTTCAATTTAAGATTTATTTAAATAATAATTTAAATATAATAAACATTATTGTAATATAAAAATTTTAAACTATACAGATATGACAATGTATTATATTATAAATATTTATATAAAAAAATAATATATATATATATATATATATATATAATACAGTAACAAGGCGTAATTATTAAGAAATTACGCTATGTTACAATATTATTCTTGAAGGTCCCACAAACTGCATTTCAATGTTTTCTAACATTCAAATACTATATGCCAATATAATTAAAATTTTAAAATTTATTATAAAATTTACTGTAAATTTACTGCAAAAATGTTATAGATTGTTGATCGCAACATCTGTGAATTTCTATGGAAAAGATGCCTGACAGATGTTTCCATACTGGGATAAGCCGGATAATAAATCTAACTTTAGTATTTCTTTAACGTATAATGCAAGTTATAGAGCTATATCAAACACAAAGATTGAACATCTATATAGATATCATAATAACTTTCAAAGAATATATTTTAAAAAAGCTGTTAACATATCCCCTTATCTCGTAGCGATTGCATTTGTCAATCTTAATAATATTACAATCACTGTTGACAAAAAACAAATCTTGAATGTTTGGGGCAGAGAAATGGTAGTACAGCATTATGAATTAATGATCAGTGATTATACAATCCATAAACAGCTTGCAAACAAGCTTTTTCAAAATACCATTTTCACCAAAGATTAACATAATTTCAGATTTCCTGGATGAAGATGTAACATGTTGGGGACTCGTTCTTTACAAGTATATACATATATTATATACACATAATTAAAAACCTATAACATTAAAAACTACAGAAATAATGTACAATAACAGCTACAGATATTTTAAATTTAAATTTTTAAAGACTAACATTAAATTTGATATTTCTAATACAATGATATTTCTGATTAAATCATTTTATTGTTTTTTTAGTCAGACAGTTAATCTATGATAAAGATTTACATCCCTATGCACATATACTGAAATCTAGCAACACGAAAAATAGCACATCAATTCTTTGGCAATACGATCGAACGAGCTTGGGGACCTGAACTATGGATAAACGAGAATGTTGCTATTTTTTTTGACAATAAAGATTGTCAATGAGATTGTTTTCTTACATTTTTAATTACAGATTGTGACAATCTAGAATTAAGAAAGCTACCTTTTGATATTACAAAAATATAAAAAATGTTTAAACATTTAATTTTATAAATTATTTTTATTCGTTAGAAACAATAAATATCATAACAATTTGTTTTTATAGAAATATCAATACACTTGCATTAATTACACACATTATTAATCATGTGTACTCTAAAGAGCAATTCGACAAGGTAAATGTTATGCACATAAATATATATGATATACATCTTTTGTATTCTGATTACATATTAAAAATATAATATTACTAAGAAATGTAAAACTAGGACTTATGTATTTGAGAATATGTAAATATTAACAAATTTTTCTCTTTATTACTTTTCATAATTTTTTTTATCATTTTTCCATCTTTTGTCGCATTGTTTTTCCGTCTCATTCAAATTTTTTATTTACATTTTTTTTTTTAAATCCGTAACTTTCTTTTTCGATATTTCTTTTTCAATGGTACTTTTGTTTTCTAGCTAAATTGCTAAGCACTATTTTTCATATGTTACATAATTAAATTATGTAATTAAAATTATGTAATTAAAATAAATCTAATCTATGTATGTATGTGTTTCAGGTAAACAAGTTTGTATATAAATCTGTTGTTTTTGAATTTATTCCATATATTGATCAAAAAATAAAAATACGATTGTCTGAAATCGAAAAACATATTGCTTATTTCGAAAAACTTTTACAAATTGAATAAATCAGAGTTTGCTAATATTATTTATTTTTTTAATATATAATATTATTTTAATATATAATATTATTTTTTTTAATATATAATATTGTTTTAATATTTTATGAATAAATATTTATTATTGTATACTTTCAATTATGTATGGCTTGTTAATTACTTTCTTTTATTGTCAATTGTCAATAATATTTAAAATATTAATCTTATTTTGATATATGAAATAAATATATGATATATGAATATATGATATATGAAATATATGATATATGAAATATGAAAAAATAAAATATATGATATATGATATATGAAATAAAACAATATAAATAAAATATAGTACATATTTAACTCTTTTCAAAACATGAGAATATCAAAATTACTCAACTATTTGTCAAAAAAATTGAATTAGAAAAAAATTGCGTAAATGATTTAATACTTTCTGTTATATTTGATAGTAACAAAACTAATTCTGTACCTATTATAATATCATTATAATATCATTATAATATAATAATAAAATTTTCTTTCTTATAACATTTTTATCATAATTTTGCTAATATAAATGAAATAGTAAAATAATAATTTCAGTTTTTTAAAATTTGTAATTTTTTGAGATCTGTGTAGATGTAATCGCTCTATTATTTTTTATGACAATCCTTAATAATATTACCTAAAGTTAGTTTATATCTCCCGCGCGGGACTCTCATTAGCAGAATTCGCGACAAGACTATTTTTGAAACATACGAAAATCCTATAGTAATGTATATTATAGAATTTTCATATGCGATATGTTTCAAGAATAGAGCCGAGCACCGAGTGCTATGATTCGCTAAGAAATTCGGCTATATTCGTCCCTAAGCCGACTCTCGCAGACCTCATTACGTTACATGTATTTGTATATGTAAGGAAGCAACAAGTTTATTTTCTAAAAACCAGTATCTGTCTGACAAATTAATAGAAATGTAAACGAGGTAAATTATGACTAAGACGAATAAAAGGTAAAAAAAATCAGAAATCATTTTTTCTCGACCATGCGATCGTGAGATATCATTATTTTAACAATTAGGATAAAAACTTTAAGAATTAAGATTTCGGATCGTTATTGCTCGAGAACTTATAGTTCTAGAAATATTTGAAATGGCATTTTTTGAATTTTTAAATTTTTAATAACAACTTTTGCTTCATATTTTCTTATATTTCTTTAATATTTTGACCAATTAGACATTTTTCTTTTTTATTATTTTTATTTGAATTTGTTTATCTCGCAATTATAGTTTCTTGAAAATTGAAAATTGCCTACAATTTTAAATAGTATACGTATACGCCGATTATGGATACGAATAAATGTGTAGTGAACAAATATTAGATACTTAAAAGTAATTAGATTTATTAGATTAATTCTTTCACTATAGTGGAACTGGCTGTCGGCATGCCACCGTTGAACGGGACTCAATGTCATTAATGTATATTTATCATACAGACAATGTCTGGTGTTCTGAATATGTTGTTTCAGAGAGTTACTTTGATAATGCTTTTTTTTAAAAGAAATAACGTTTTTACTTAAAACGGAATATTTATTAATTTATTATTTATTTAACTTTATCTTTAATCCTTTTGATACGACGGAATTATTATAATAAAGATAAAAAAAGATCAGAAAAACAAATATATTAGGGACAAATATATTAGGGATGCTTATATATTTAAAATTATTAATACATCTTTTCATAATTAAATTTTGAAATACAAAATAAGCAGCGGGACTGATTTTATCATGAGTCTAAAAATAATTTCATATCTCTTGTGAAAATTTTTACTTAATTTTAAATTATAAACGCAATATATGTGTGTGCGTGTGTACGCGCGCGTGTATATATGTGTGTACCAAATATTATAAAAAAATATTTTATTCTACATTTCCAAATTATTTTTAAATGTTACATATCTGTTTGCTGTTAACTTCTATTTATTTATACCTGTCTTGACATTTTTTTGTAATTAATACGTAATTTCTAAGATCCGATAAAATCTCAAGTACTTATAGTTGCCAGTCATGAGTTCGTCAAATTCGCATTTGATGCGAGACACTATCTCTCTCTCTCTCTCTCTTCATATACTATATAATAATAATAATAATAGAATCTCTATATTACATCTTATTACATCTTATGTCTTTTCTTACAGATAATAGAGGAAATAGTTATTTCAGATATTTGTAACGACGATGGAATTATTGCAACTTTTAAATATTACTCTAATATTTGTCGCTATAAAAGCTACTATCAACAATTTGAAAAATAATTTGAACGCTAATGAACTTCAGCATTTTAACGAATCGTTAATAATACCATCAGAAAACTTTATTGACTTTAAAACTTTTATCGAAGATGATCACTACAATTATACATCTATTTATAAAAAGTTTAGATCATATATTGACAAGCAACATGCAAAAAACAACTTTGTTTTCGAGGGTACATTTGTATCATTTTTTAAAGTTACTGCTAAAACAAACACAATATGTTTGAACATATTAAATCTGAAAATAAATAAAGCAGCGACAAGTGTTACTATAGATGATAAGAAAAAATGAAACATGTGGTTTTTAAACCAAAAATACATATATATGATAAAGAAACTCAAATGGTTATGATCCATTTTGATCAACATTTTTTACCATCTACTTCTTATCGTCTAAGGATGGAATTTATCGGTCCAATAATTAGTATGGGTAGCTTTTATCGAACATCAAATACTAAAGTGTACGTATAAATGTAAAAATTCAAACATGAATATATAAAAATTATTATAAAAAATACTATTTATTTTTAATTCAATTATACTCTTTATTCAGACAATTATTTGGATATAATAAATATGTTGAGTGTATAAATAATGCATAAGTATATAATGTATAAATATATAATGCATAAGTATTATTTTATATTATGTTATATAAGAAATTACAGAAAATATACAGCGTAAAATGTAATAAAAGATATACATTTAATATTAATGACATCTTGCAAATCACATTTAAATATTCTCCAATCCTCAATAATAATTAAAATTTTATAATTTATTATTAAAATGTGATAGATGGTTGATCGCAGCATCTGACTCAGAAGGAATGGGAAGTGGACTGATATTGCCATACTGGAATAAATGTTATATTAAGGCTAAATTTGCTATTACCATAATTCATCATGGAAATTATAAAGTTTTGACAAACACGATCTTTAAAACAACCTATACAGAAAACATGCGTTCATATTTTTATAGCGAAATTAATACATTCCCACATCTTATAGGAGTTGTATTTCACAATCTTGATCATATCTCTAACGAAACTGACACATTTAACGAGGACCAAACCATTGACATATGGGGAAGACGAAATATAAAACAGCGTTTCGAATTTGTGCAGTACATTGCTGTAAAATCCAAATTGTATTTGCAAGAAAACTTTGCTGTAAAATCCAAATTGTATTTGCAAGAAAACTCCGAGCTTCCATCCGAATTTCCATCAAATATGAGCATTATCATAATTCCGAATTTTAGAGAAGAAACTATAGAAAGTTGGAGACTTGTTTTTTACAAGTACGGTAAACATACAAATAAAAATTTATAATATTATAAATTATATAAATGTAACATGTAAATATAACTAAAAATATTTTAGTTCTTTTAAAATAAACTAAACATCAAGATTAATCTTGATGTGTAATATAAAAATATTTGATTAAATCATTATGTTGTTTTTTCAGTGAGGCAGCTGTTATGTACGATGAAACCATAGATCCCATTGCATATAAAATGAATGTGGCACATACAGTGGCACGCAAAATGACATATCAGTTTTTTGGCAATATGATCGGACAATCTTGGGGATCCTATTCATGGATAAACGAAGGTGTTGCCACGTTTTTAGGAATGAAGATTATCGATAAGGTTACTTTTGCATACATTTTGTGTTAAAATGGAATTAAAGAAAGAATATAAAAGATAGAGAAAATCTTTAAACTTTTAAAAATTAATTATATTTCTTGTAATCAACAAATGATCATGAAATACATGTTTCAAATTTTTATAGAGAATATAAAAAGATGCTAAGTTAGAAAGTACAAACATATTTAAATTGTACATTGTAATATTCAAGTTTCTTCATATAATTTAAATAATAACAAATTTACAATAACATGTCATTTTTAAAAATTTTATTACATTTTTATATTATATTGATTATAACAGTAAAAAATTATACAATAATGATACTGATTACACCGAACCATTATTTCTAGATAATACCAGACTCGAGAATGTTGGATTTATTCGTAGTACAATTTCAACACGAGTGTCTTCGTTTGAATCATTATTATGATATGCCTTTTGTAGAAATCATTGGATCATCATATTTTATTTCCACTTTCCCATTTACTCATTATGTTAAAGGTAAAACTGAATACATGCAATTAAAAAGTTGCTTACAAAATATTGAACAAATATTATAACAATATATATAAATGTAATTGTAAGCAAATTTAACAACTTATTTAACAATTTATTTGTTTACAATCTAATTGTAAACAAATTTATCCACTTATATAAGTATATATACTTATTATTTTGCTGTATTTATAGTACGAAAAGATAAAAAGTCAGTGTGTGCGTGTGTGTGTGTGTGTGTGTGTGTGTGTGTGTGTGTGTGTGTGTGTGTGTGTGATGTGCACGCGAGTGTATGTCTGTGTGTGTTTATGTATGTACATTCATTATTTAAAACTCAATAATTAATATTTCCTATAAAATTACATTTATAAACTTGTGAAAACAATAATTGTTACATTTTATACAAATGTACTTATAATTTTATACTTCTTATGATATTAATTGTTACAGCATCTGTCTTTATACACATGTTATCAAAAATAGTACCAACGGATGTTTTTATGATTAGTCTCAGTAAATACGTAAGATTGCAGTGAGTAATATTTTTTACTATTACTATATAGTTACTATATTTTTAATGTTATAACAAAAACTTGTATATAATTAACATTTGAATATATATATATATATATTGTTTATATATATATATATATAAACAAAAAACAATTTTATACAGCATTGTTATATAGCATTTAATCTTTACAAATTTATTAATCTTTACAAATTTAGTCAGGGTACATTTTTCGATACAATGGATAGTCTTTCCAACAAATTCCTTAATATTTTCCACGAAATATACATGAAGCATATAATACTTGAAAAAAGTAAAACAAGATCGATAGACCTAGAAAAAAGGTTGAATTGTTGGATAATTCAGAAATATTTTCCCATACTAGAAGTGACATTAAAATCTTCTAAAACATTGTTTGAAATAAAATTATCACAAAATATGAGTAGATCAAATTGTAATAATTTATGGATACCTGTGAAGTATGTTACCTCTCACAATAAGTCTCAAACTCAGTGGCTATCCCATAACAAACCAATTTTAAATGTGCCTAATATTGAAGAAAAGCATTGGATTATTGTTAACATTCAACAAAGTGGTAAGTATAAATCAATAAATTTAATATACTTCTATAATTATCCATATCAGCAAGATTTTACATAATATTGTGCATTGTTTATTGTAAAAGGATACTATCGTGTAAAATATGACAAGAAATTATGGGAAAAGATTTTATACTCTCTACACTCAACTTCATCTGACATACATCCTTTGAATCGTGCACAGTTCATCGATGACGCATATTATTTTTTATCGACAAAAAAACTTGATTTTGTTTTTTCAAAAGACTTACGTCTTATCTTTCAAAAGAGACAGATTACATACCATGGTATCCTCTATTTAAAATTATGGAAGATATATCAGGTTTTCTTCCGTTTCGAAAAAGTAATAATGTAAAGGTAAGTATGAAAATATTTTTTTAATAAAAATTATATGATTAATTATTTTAAGTGTTGTGACAAATATTAATTTAATATAAAAGTTGAAAATGTATATAATTAGAAAAATTTAATTATATTTTTTTATATTATTCCATTTAGAATATTGATTTTTAAAAAATGAGAAATTTTTAAATTTTTAATAATATTTTTCTATAAAATTATTCTATAAATATATATTCTTTATACAAAAATATTATTTTACTGATATATACAAAACGATTGCCACATATTAATGCTGTCAAAAATGTCACATTTGATTTTTAATTCAACAATACAATTTTTTACATATCGATTTATAACAAACATTAATTGCAAATTAAAAAACTCGTGATTTAAGTATTTCCTGAATGTAAAAATGGTCTTATCTAATAAAATTATTTTATTTTAAAACAAAATATGTGAAATGAATTGAAAGCTTTGTATAAGAAAAATTTGAAAAGGTGACTTATTATAAAGATATTAAATAAAAAAAATGAGACAATATTTTTTATTTAATTATTATATATTATAATAATTAAAATAAAATTATGTCTTGCATTAACATATAATAATATATGTATAATTTTTCATACATTACGTTTTTTTTCATGAATAAATAATAAAGTATTACAAAGATTATGTTGTCTATTTTCAGATGCACTTCCTGACACTCTTTGATTCTGTTCTGGAATACCTAACATATGATGAATCGATTCATGATACTGCGTTTAATAAATCTTTAAGACAAGAGGCCGCAAAATGGGCATGCATTTTAGATTCTCATGTATGTAAATATACTGCCGTTGTCACATTAAAGGCACATCTGAATGAGTCTTTATCTGAGTCTGATTATAAAAGGTAATATTTTATACAATTATCATTTCTCTAGTCCAAAATATGATAAGCATTTGAAAAATATATACATATGTATAATTTAATAAGTCCTATAAATATAATAAGCATTTAAAAAATATATATAATATTATATATAATATACATAGTATTTTTATTACTATATATATTAGGTAATAAATATTAAATTATTGAGATGACACATGGCTCTATAAAAAAACGTGTAGCTTGTCATTGATAGATTCCAGATGCGAACATGGCTTTTTCATTTTATTGTTTTTAGTTTCGCCCGAATTGTGATTTATACTTCTTATTATTTTCTTACATCTTTCTCGGTTTGATCCGAGATTGATCAAACTATCCTTTATTTTGAAGAGGTTGTGATGCGAAAAAATATTTATTATTTGCAAATTTAGATAGTATTCAAATACTGAGTTGTGTCATAAAATACATTAATTCCTATTTTATTAAATATTTTAGTGTTTTACCATACTGGAAGTCATGGACATATTGTAAAGGATTACAAATAGCGGATAGTCATACTTGGAACAGAGTATTTGAAATAGCTAAAACTGATAAAGAGATTATAGAATTTTTAGCGTGCTCTAAAGATCATTATATCATTTATAAATACATCGAAAAAATCAGACATTTGAATAGGATAGAAGATCGCATTACAGCTTTACATTCAATTTTTGCAAAACAATTGAAAAATAATTACATATTCAATTACATTTTAAAAAATTTTGCAAATTTAATACCTATGTAATAATATCTTCTTTTTAAATATATATTGCTTAGTTCATAAAATTTTCTTTGTTATAGTAATTATACATCTGTTTTGTTTTTACAGAGAAATCGGTGTAATCGCAGGAATTATAGACATTATTAATCATATATATTCTGAAGAGCAACTTGATAAGGTAACTTTTATATGTATATGTAGTATACCATCTTTAAAAGAGAGAAAGAGGAAAAGAGAGAAAAAGATTATTAAATATTAAAAATATTAAAAAAGACTATAATATAACATATAATATAACAAAAGATTATAATATAACATGGTATTAGAGATATGAATATGAATATTTCGATTATTTTTTTATAATTTATTTTTTTATTTTCTTTTGCGCTGATCAATTTCTTTTTCTTAAAGCTTTCATTGACAACATATTTTTGGATTAATGATTTTCTTTTCAATATATTATTTCCAACAGTACCTCCGTCTTCTGGATGAATATGAGATATTCATCTTCTGAATAAATATTGGCTTTCATATATGCTACAATAATAAATTATATAGTGACAATAAACGTAACATATTTTATGTATGTGTATGTGTATGTTTCAGGTGAAAAATTCTGTGTTTCCTAATGTTTCTCTTAAAGAAATTTCGTACATTCATCAAAAGATAGAAAAACGACTATTCGAAATCCAGAAACATGTTTCTTTCTTCGAGAGGTTTTTGAAAACTAAATAACTCGACATTTGATAATATTATATATGTGTCTATATATAATATTATATGCTCTAATATTTTAAAAATAAATTTTCATAATTTATTTATAATTATATATAACCTATTAATTATTTTTCTTTAT